TCAGCCGCGCTCCTTCCTTTTATAGGCTCGCCCCGTTCTCCACCCTTTTACGACGTTTTAAATTCCTCCTGCACATTTTTTTTTTCCGAACGCCAAGTCACGCGCGACGCGATGTTTTACGTGGTCGTTCCATGAGTCGCGGTGAATAGTCATGGGAGGGCTTAAGTGCCGGCTTCTGGATGAATATGTTTATGATCTTGGCTCGCGAAACACCGAAACCTTGGCATAGTATGTAACGAACGAAACCAGAACTTGCTTGCTTACCCTTGAAACTAGTTATTCTTTCATATTTATTCTCTCGCCGTTGGACTAAAAACGGGCTTTTAAGGGAGTGTTATTTGGAAAAAACTGGACGGTGGAGCGGAACCCGATGGTGGCCGGTGAATTTTTCAGACGGCACGCGTTGCTACCCTTCCCATTTGAATTCGAAAATTCACCGGAGTAATTAAGCGTTAGAGCCGTTTCTGCAGGCTGCGTTCGAGACTGAAACACGCACCTCCCGCCGGAATAAACTCTCGTTTTAAAACGCCCCGCGATAAAGTTATGACAAAAGCTGTCTGGCGTATTTTACTTTTAATTATCGTTGATAAAAATAGTTTAAAGGCAGAGAAAACCAATCGTTCGCTGAATAAATGGAAATGCAATAAAATTCCCTCGTGACTCGAATCACGTTTATATCCTTCCGATCGTATTTACTTGCAATATTCTAATATTTCTAGTCTACCATTGTTTGAGTAAGAATATCATTGCTTTTTCATTACCTGTAATCTCGACCAAAGTCTAAACTAAAAAAGAAAGTAATTTCTTCAAGTATCGAAAATTAAATTACCCCTAAAACTGTGCTCCTAAAAATACTTCAATTTTTTCCAAAAAATTTGTCCATGTCACCAATATTTTCGATAACACTCAATTGTCACGCTTTACGTCTCTCACCCTGTAGATAACTAAGCCAAGTTTCTCACGTGTTACGGGAAGAAAGTTAGGGTTAACGCAATTACAGCGTGTCATTTTTACAATATCCACCGTACATGAAACGTAACGTCGTTGGCAGTGTGCAGAGGCAGGCGAGAGTAAACCAATGCCACGATCAACTACACCTAATCCAATGAACCGTGTCCTGGTGGAAATGCTGTCGTATTTTCCAGCAAGTGTCCCGGAGCGGTGCGGTTCTTCTTTGTGTCGATGGCACGAGATCGGAAGTGTGGTGAACGTAGCCGTGGATCGCCTGCTCTGCGAGATTTTCGCAAGCACAGTCGGCTGTCTAGTCAGCTGCTATAGATCCGCTGTTGCTGTTTACGTTACGCGTTAAACCCCTTGCGCCGAGCATTAAACCCGACCCCACCGAAGCCGCACATCGGGAGCCAAAGCCCCATAAGCATCGTTACGCCGCGTTACATCCCCCACCCTTCACTGACAAAATTACTGACACCTATATAGACACGTTCAGCTTCCCCGTGGAAATTTATCCGTATCGCATTCGTGCGAACCACTCATTTCCTGTCGAAGCCAGTCACGTAAATTACGTAAATTGACCCTTTGGGTACGAAAGTGAGAGAAGGAGAGAGGGAACCCCGCCTGACTTTTTACCCGATGACCCTTAATTGGACGCTCGATTAATTGTAATCCATCGTGAAGTCTTTCATGACTTCCGCTCGTTTGTTATTTCGCCTTCTGGTAAATGGCGAACAAAAAAAAAAATCCTCCCGAGGGGAATAAAAAAGGGGTCTTTTATTCGGTACAGCTATGTGTACGTATAGGTTGGAAAGAGTTTCGAAACTCCCCAGCATCCGGAGTGGCTTCTCAAACGAATCTTCAGCATGTCAGGTAACCGCACGGTATAGTACATGCATTCTGCATGCCAACGCTCTGCGTCTTACAAATTTACGTCCACAGACAGCTGTACATGCATGTGTTCACATACATATATATCTATATATATAGAGAGAGAGAGATGCGCATGTAAACGAGACCCAACATGCTCAGCTTTACATATGGCAAGGGATTACGATATTGTACAGCTGAGATACGACGGTGAAACGGTTAGATAGCTTGCCTTCCCTTTATCTACGTGGTTCCACCCCCGCTTTGTCCCACCGCTAACCTACACCGCCACCCTTTCTTTCGACTCTCTCGATTTCAGTACACCTTTCTACACGACACCACTTCCCACCGCTTAACCCTTCTTCTCACCTTCGACCTAGCAAGCCGCAACTTCGTTCTCCGTCCTCCACCGCTACTCCCTTCGCTCGGTTCACGGGCTGAGAGTTAATTCGCGCCGCGTAATTCAGCAGAGGGTCTGACGAAACCGGGAGTGGTAAGTAGCTGTCGCCTAGTCGACGTGTATGTTAATACGGAAGCGTAAAGATACTGCGGCTTTACGACCTGCTTGTGATCTCGGAATCTCCGTCACGGTTTACTGGCATTTCCATCTATTACTACCACCGCACCTTGCTACCTCGTCGATTTTGCTCCGTCAAAGGAGATCATTTGACAATTATTGCGTTACATTCGCGATAAATTACAGGTGACTGCTCTGTTATTTCTTTTCGCCGAATAGAAGTGAATGGTAGCGCGTGGTTTTAAGAGGCGCGGGAAAGGGTTGTAAAAGAGAGCGTAAAAGTCGACAGGAAATCCTTCGCGATGGGAAGAAAGGTGAAGGAAAAATTTTTCACTTTACATAGAGTCGAAGAACTGTCAGAGTTTTAGAATTTCGAGAATCGTGTTTAATCCTTGAGTTGTAAATTAAATTAAATAGGTGTTAAACTATTATTACAATAGCTAATCACGTCATTTGGCGTAAAAATTTATGATAAGCTATTACATGAAAAAGCATGCTGATAAATAATAAAATTCCACAAATTAGAGGAATTCATAGAGAGAAATCCATGAATTATTTCTGAGAAATAATAGCTCTCGTCAAAGGGGTAACTTAGAAAAGTTCACCGAGTATAATCGTTACAGGAAGGAAGCCCGCTGCGACTCGCGTGGGGTTAAATGTGACGAGGAAAGGAAATCCCATATGTCGGGAAGTCCCACCACGTTACCCTCGATCCACATATATTAACTCTGGAATTGAAGGGGACTGAAGAGACAGGTCCTTGACAAGATTTTGATCTTCGTAATCCTTTCCATTGTACTTTCATACCTCTTTTACGGGGCATTTATTCCTGTCATTTTTCATCGCGTACAAACCTCGCGATTTATCGGCAGAAGAAAAGTAAGCAGAAATAGAAAATACGAGGCATTCGTAAATTGATACGATAAAATTAAACGAATCTTGAAACGTGTTCAACGTTGAATCAATTTTATTCAGTTTTATACCGCGCGATATAGAAAACGCATAGTACGTCGCGCTATAAAGGGTTACGAGGTCCTTTATCGATGGTTGGTTTTTTAACACTATCTCGTGGCCGCTTTGAAAGTATCTGTCGTCGATTTTATATAAACCGAAACAGCGAATTTTACGATCGCGCGCCGCTATAATTTAACGCTGGCTATAATAAAACTGACTCTCTCTCTCTCTCCACGTTTCAATGTAGCATCTGTAATATTACCCGCTCTATGGATTTAGTTGAGTCACGCTGTTTATGCGCCGAGAGAGAGAGAAAAAAAAATGGAGGGAATGTATCTTGACTGTACATTAAAGTTGACGTTGATGTACGGTCGAGGGAATGAAGGGTTATAAAAAGATTTTGTGAACGTGACATTAGCACGAGGGGTGTATTCTCGGAAACAGAGTGCAAGGAGGGGCAAGGAAATTTAACGCTAGGCGGTTCGATTAAATGATGGAAAAGAAAAAGAAAAAACGAAGATTAATCTACGTATTTCAAATAAACGAAAGAGCAAGACTGACTGTTTCCTTCGTGATAATTAATCAAATTTCATGCATGTTTAATAGCCTCGGTTACAATGAGTTTTTACGCGACGAAAGTTTTCCTGAAACAAAGGCCAGTCCGTAATTAGACAGAAAACTTCTCCAATTTTATTACAGATACCTTAATAATCTAATTTAAACTTAGAGTTGATTGACATTCATCTAACTTCATTAAAACTTTAATTAGTCGATCAAACTTAAGAATATTCCTCTGTCTTCTATTTTTTTCCCCCCCTCGTTCGCCGCTGCAATTTTTCGCTCAAGCACTAATTCATCGAGAACGGGAGAAAAATTCGGCCGAAACTCTTCCTCACCTCTGTCTTCTCGTTCGAGAAATATAGAAATAAAAAACGATGCTTTCCACCCTCTTGAATTACACAACATCCCCCCCGCCCCCGAAAAGCTTCTCTAAAATTTATCTCCGCCTTCGAAATTCCTAATCGCGTTCCCTCGGCGCAACGCATGCATATGTAACGCAGCGAAAACCGTGCTGGTGGTGGCGACGGAATGTTTCTTCCGGAGGGACTTCTGCCGGGCGAAGAACTATCGCGGTAAAGAAAACGGACAGGAAACGGGAGGAAAGTTTGTGCCGCGCGGTTCCGTCAAGCTGACCGAGCGAAAGTTTCAAACATCGACTTTCGCAATGCGTCGCGATCGCGGTTTAGTTTTCTCTCCCTCTTCGTTTTTTCTCTTCTTCATTCCCCTCTCCCTCTTTTGTCGCGCGCTTTTCGGGAGCTTTAGAGGACTTTCCGAGCAAAGTCACTCGAAAATCAGCCGCAACCGCCGGAACGCGTTCCTACGAACTCTCGTGGTCGCTCCGGTTTCTCGCCCCCTTCTTTCTCTCGCCCCGCAGCCTCGCTCACCCTTAGCTATGGATTAAAGTATCGACGACACCCAGCCGCGTCTGAATAATTCAGGACGAAAGTTTTAACCGCAACCGACGCGAAAGCTCTTCATGGTTCGACGCGAACCTCGCTTCTATACATATATTCGAAAGTTTTAACCGCAACCGACGCGAAAGCTCTTCATGGTTCGACGCGAACCTCGCTTCTATATATTTGTGTGTGTGTGTGCGTGTGCAGAGTGGTAGCATTTGAAAACGATCGAAATTCGTTTTGTGTTGCAGGATTCGCGCTGATGAGGATTGTCGAAGTCTACAAGGAGATCCAGGAGCAGGAGATGAATATCGTGAGTACTCAGACCTAGTTCTCTATTTTCTCCTACAAACGAAAGCTTCTTTCTAATTAAACTAACGCCTGGGCACTTGGTTCGGAGCAGTCAAAAAAGCAAACATCACGTTTCCAATATTTATCACGTTCTCTCGATACAATCAATTATTCAGGGTAACGCGTCGTTCCAATCGGTACGGAACGCGGTAAATCTCCCACCTTGTAACAGAGCGCATTCACACCCCTGCGTAGATTTGCTCCTCGATATACACGGTGTTCCCGAATTGCCGGTGCAACCTGAAGAGGGACGAATCAACGTGAAAAAATAATTGCAAAATGTAGCGTAATTTTCGTGAGAAGCTTGGCAATGTAGAAGAATCCGCAGAAAGGCGAGCATTGATAACGTGTAGTTTAATCAGTAGCGGGATCCCAAGGAGGATATGAATGGAAAAGACAAGAATAAATCGTCTCTCCGTTGGTCCGTGGCCTGTTTCGCGTTCGAATTATTTAAATAAACGGCCACGGCTGACGCAATTAAAAGTAGAGAGAAGATTTATGCGGGACGCGCGAGAAACCGAAATGCACGGGGCGCGGTGAATTCGTGACGGGGGCGAACTTCCAACCCCGTTGGAATATTAATTGGAAAGTTAAAAGAGAGTTTTGGTCATTTAGCCCATCTCTGTCTCTCACGCCCCTTTTCCCTCTCCCATCCCCTAATCACCAGCTCGGTTCTCTCCCTTTATCTCGATCCCGTTACGCTCCTATCTTCCCGTGTCCTTTCCCACCCGTTCCCGTTTCTTCGCCTCTTTTTCTATCCGCCCCGTTCAGAAACACATGGAAATCTCTTTGATCCTTGCACGACCCTGGCCCTGCCTTCGGGGCGAGATTACACACCTGCAGACGTCTCTCTTTTGAGGGTGAAAATTCGTTCTGGACGTAACCACATGTTATTACGATTTCGCCCCGCGGACAGTGATACAAGCTGCCTGCGTTTTCGAAATGATATTCCGGGAGGGAACGTCTGCTAAGGAGTTGGGATCAGACATGGTGAAATTTAAAGGACCCCACAGACGCAAGTGTTAGAGAGGTTGTGAGTGTGTGAACGAAACTGCGACTATTTTGGAAATCTCTTATTTTATTAGGGTCTCTGCAGGTGTCAAAGAAACTTTATACATTTTCTTTTAAGTAAAAACTTTGCATT